TGCGTACGGTAAGTACCGAGGTATCCATGTATTATATTGTATACATATCAATACCGACAACAAGCCTACTACAAATACCCAAACACAACCCGTATTCCTACCCATATCTTATCCCGTATACTCGTACAGAAACCGTGAGGTCCCCATTAGGATATTCTTTATATTACGTACCTAACAAGGAACGTGTGAGATAATCCAGATACTCATACCCGGATTTTCGGCTTCCCGCCCGCGGAGGGTTGCTTCCGCATTGCACCACCGCACTCCCACACGTCATCCATAGAAGTTACTTACACAGCGATGACTAACCTTAAAGTTGTTTTCTTCTTACAATTATCTAACCCAGAGACTTCATTATACATCTATGATATCTATAATACTCATCATGAATGCAGTTGCGGACTCGCTGTGTAGATCTATACCCACATGCCTTACTACTTTTATTTTGGCCAGACCCCAAATCAAGACTTATATCGGCCTAACAAACGTGACGGAAATTCAGAAAACTGCCCCTGATGGGTGCTAAAATAGTAAAAGCATTGCTGGGTTAGTTGTTTACTACGGATTCAGGGATATTATGTCCATACTAGAACAACACGTAAACTTGCTATTCAGATATTCGAGGTGTGGGCACACAATTATACATGCTTCAGATCTCATTTGTCTTGAGTCCCGTCTTATGGTCTTTAGTCTGCCTTGTAGAGTCTATGCCATGATATTGGGCCCCATGCCTGCCGACATGGATGCAACTGGCTCCTTATGGGATTCCGCTGCTGAATGGCCATGCTTCAGTCCTCCCAACATGTCTTTACTACATTTCCCAACCGCCTAGTATACTAGGCCTAGGGTAAAGTCAACCTCCCGTATGCACCTTTTGTGTCGTAAACCCAACGTGTTCTCATTTACAACGCATCCACTTCCGTTGGGTAAGCCAGCAGTCTCACAAATACTACGAATAGTCTTCTACGTCCAAAAGGACCGCGCAACTATCAAGGAGACAGACCACTGGCAATGGCGACGCACATCTCCACCGCACTTCGAATCGGGAGGTTCTTCCGCAGAGCAGGAACACCGGGCTGCGAAATATCCGGCCGCTACCGGAAAGCACCGTTGTGCCCTTAGAGGGCCGAAAAGACGAATAACTGTATCATATTAGCTACCACTGGTATAATTAGGACGTTTGGATATCATGACTCACATTGTTTGTCGCAGCGATGGCGATACTGTCCTCGAATGGATGCCAACTCATGTGCAGGATTTTCTTGTTAAAGTCAATCTGATCTGCGTCTGTCTCCTTCCGCATCCTCTGTCCCTGACCCGCTCCGGCCGCCGGACTACCCGCACGCGATCCGCCCTTCTTACCGCCGTTGGTCGCTGTGGGGCTCGTCGACGAGTTGATAGGCGTCGGGATACCTACTTTCTTCGCCTTGAAGGCCGACTTGTCTGCTTGCAACACGACCTCGATCTCCTTCTCGGGATCCGAAGGATAGATCATGAAGTTGTTATTATAGCTTCCCGTCATGACATTTTTGGCATCACCCGAGAAAACAACTTCAAACTTGTCGAATATACTATCGTTCTCGTACGTATCACATAGCCGTGGCCTAAGGTGCTCGTGAATAGGTATGGTCTTGATAGGTTGGCGTTCCATATTGACATCCCAGATCTTGACGGTGAGGTAGTCTCGAGATAAGATGTATCTGCCGTCGTATGAGAAGCGCACGTCTGAAATGGAGGATATGATCTCGGAAAAGAATGATCTTGACGACGGATCCTCTTCTTGTTCGAAAACTAAATAACGTCGTTAGCTGACGTCGCCTTTACAAACTGTATAGATAAGGGTTCATACGTTTTGCATGCTGATCGCAAAGGGCACTCTCCCGCATATCTGCTAGCTTGATGGTGCCCTTCGAGCTCGCGTACATAAACCAGTTACAGCTAATGGGGTGGAATTCGGCAGCAGTAATGACCTCAGTCAACTCCTCCATATTCGCAGGCTTGATGTCGACAATGTTGAAACTCTGGTCCTGAATATTCAAATTCCAGAGGTTGATCCGCAGATCGTCGCTGCTTATGAAGGTCTCCCCGTCGCTATTGACCGAAATGCTGTTAATGTGATAGGCGTGAGCATTCGCGTACGTACGCCGGGGAACCGCAGCGACGACAGTATCGTGATGCGTCAGTCGTGGTAGCTTCAGCTCTCCAGCGGTCTTGAAATGTGACTGAGGAAGAGCTCTAGGAGCTCCTCCTCCTACACCAGCGACATTGCCTGGCGTCAGATCGTGGGACAAGTTGTTCTCCGCTACTACTTTTAGTGATTTCTCGAAAACCTTCCATAGCTTGATCGTTTTGTCGTTGGTAGAGAGCAAATAGTGAGAAGCATTCTGACGGCGACACCACTTAATCTTGTTAATCTTCTCTTCTATCTCTAGAGATTTGAGGTAGTCGAATTCGGGCTCGTGTGACTGGAATTCGGTATGAAACTTGTATTCACAAGTTTTTTTCTAAAGACAAGATCAGACTGAATTTGCTTTTCGTGATGTCAAGGATGTTAACTGACCGTCTCGTTCCTCTCAAACAAAACAACTCGGCCGCCTTTGTCTCCTGTTGCTAAGTAATTACCGGTATGGTCGAATTCGACGGTTGATATAATATCGGCTAAGAATCTCATGTAAGCATAGGAACATCCAACCTACTTGGTTTATTGATGGGAGAGAGGTCGAGGGGCTGTGCGATCCGGGGCTCAGAGAAGCCCACGAAAGTTTTGGGTCAAAATAAGAGGCATGGAAAATATACCTTCTGTGATATCTTCAACATCTCCTTTGTCACCAAAGCACCTAGAAGCAAGCAACCGGAGTCAGTAATTATTATCAAGGAGATAGCTGATAGTTATAGAGGGTAGATGTATAAGAGCTAGTTTTCTGAGGGTAGAACGTGATAGTGGCGATAAAAAATACGAATCAAGGAAGAATCGTGAACGATCCTTTGTGCAAACTTACTGGGTGAACTTCCAGGTGGGAGAGTTTGAATCTCCTTCCACCATATTCGCGATGGGTTGGGTGTGAAGCTACCTAAGCTCCGACCCGTATTTCAGTTCAGAGGAGGTGTATGCGGTAGATGGGTGGACTAGCGTATCGCAGCCGCAACTAATGAGGGCTCGGCGATGGGCGATGGGCGATGGAGGGTTGATACGCGACTTGAGGTGAGGATAGACCGAGAAGCGTGTCGAGGTATCTTGCGGCTGCTGGAGACAGGTAAGGCTTGGTAGGCTGGTGGTAGGCTGGGATGTGGGAAAAGGTAGTCGGAGGGGCGGGTCTAGGGCGGCGGGGTGTTGTACGTATTGGCGGCCGTGGAGGGTTAGAAAGATGCAAAGGGCCTTTAAGCGGATGGTGCGCTCGCTCCCAATGACTCTGCGGTGGGCGAAATCAAGGAATAGTGCTAATATGAGACTTCAAGTCAATCAAGAAGTCATGCACAACAATTAAATGTGGTCGGAAGCACCCGCTGGCTGTCAGGAGGGGGGAAATGATGGGGAAAAAAGGATACACGAGCTGCTGCAAAATGACGGCAAAGCGTAGTCGTTGGTTTTTTTGGGTGATTGATGTGATGCGAGTAGTAATGGTAAGGTCCTAGCAGGTAAGTAGTACGTTATGGGTTATCAGTTATGGGTTATGGGTTATGCGCAAGGGTCTAGGTTAGCAGGTCTGGGTCAGATTTGGGGGAAGAAGTGGGAAGGGTGATTTGATTGACGGTCGTAGATGCGTAGATGCGTACCTAAGATGCGTGGTCGGCTTATGTCAGTCAGTGCGGGCTTGCCTGTTTTGGGTCTGCACTCAGTGCTGTATCGTGGTATCTTGGTACCTACCTACCTATGTGGGCAGCTACGAGATGATGCTTACCTTATGTACCTTCAGAAGTGCTTTATGTACCGAATTGCTATCTAACACGCGAGAGCATCTCTATTGTCTTGGGCAAAAAGAAATCCATAATCCACAATGAAACTATTGATTTTAACTTCCTACATGCATTATGTACTATATCTTACGTACTTTATTTTTTAGAGCATATATAAATATACCTATTCACTTATGTTATATGCGCCAAATATTATAGTAATTCTTTTCTACATAAGCTTACATGTATGTACAGGTTTAGCAGTCTTGTCTAACTCGCTATAAAATGTTCAAGTACAATACAATACCACACTCAAGGTTGCGGGCGTGGAGAAAGTGTGGAGCCCCAGGGCACGAATACCTAACCTAAATTACCCCCTTGCAGGTACCAAGCTGCTAGGAAAGCGCAAGAACTGTCTATGTACATGTGTATTTAACAAGGCAGAAGAGCCTCGAAAAGAACTCGAGGATAAAAAAGACGACTGCTCATTTATGTACTTAGACAGTTATCTATACATATATACGTACTGTCATTTTTGAAGTGGCCTGCATAACGATTTCAAGTTTATATACGAAGTATGACATAGATGACATTTAAAGCATGTATATGTTACAACTACCATTATATATAGTTATACCTAAGGTATATTAATAGTCGGCCTGAAAAAAGCTTAGAACTTTTTATCCGTAAGCATGTCAACTTCTGTAGGTATGATTGCGCCCATTGTTACGAAATAATCCGGCTTCTTTGTAACTAGATCGGGAAGCGTCGCACGTGGCACGATTCACCACAACTCTTAATGATCTATTTCTTTAGAATGTTACCTAAATACGTGGTCGGGCTTTAAATTAAAGCTTATATGAAATCTCGTATACTAACAGGAATATTCGTGTAATTACATGTATCAAGTGCTTCGTGTAAACTCTAAAATATAGGTAGGTACATGTATGTACTCTTATATATATATACGTATATATGAGTTCATGAGTTACCAGGTATCGTAATACCATTTGATTTGGAGGGGTCTTGTATGTACATAGGATTAGATAAACGAATCGACGTCTTTGTCGTCACATGCGAATGAAGGCGGCTAAAACTCGATTCAAGGTTGACATACCTTGTACCTAGGTAATTTTAAGCTACATCATTATATGCCGTTCTCTCTATCCCAAAGCCGAACCTTACCGGAGTCTTTACTTACACCTGTAGGTACATTGGTAGGTATGAATATATTTAATAACTACCTACCTACATATAGGTATAGCTCGCCGGTCTACAAACGTAATAAAACATTCATCACCAATTCATATCCTCTTTGGGTTCTCTTCCGAGTAGAGAGTCCATAAATTTCGACTCGATCATTCTTCTATTTATAGAGCTTATTGCGGTTGGATACAGTCATAATTATTGAGCTGCGCCAGTGAGAGAGTAGGCGTAACCACGATGGACAAAGATAATAGCGAGAGCGCAACTCCTCGGGACGCAAAAGGCAAAGGTATTGCAACGAAAATAGATGACTTGTCGTCCGAATCAACAGCGCAAGATGGGCATTCGGGATCTGTTGAAGTAACCTCAAAAACGACCTCATTCATATCAAGATTGAGCGCATCCGCGGGAAAGCTCACTAATGAGATGGTTTTACGACATCCTAGCGGCGCCTCTCTAGCAGACGCCTTGCCCTCGGATAAAGCTGAATCTTCCAGGCCCCAGAGAGGCGCCGGTGTGAATGAGGCGTCAATGTGCAGGGGTAACTTAGCCCAGGGGACGATTCCGGATACGTTTAAATCTTTACCGAGACAGGAGCAAGAAGTCCCAAGTGAATCCAGCTTCTCGTCCTTTCTAAACAGCACAAGCATATTAGGAGAAACGGAGCCTAGTGGCATCAAGACCGGGAGATCCGAGAAGATACACGAACCTGTACCTGGGGGGACACAGCAAACTAGACCAATAATCAACACAACCGATGGCATGGACGTTGTTGATTTTCTCGATTTAGGGTATGACGAAGTTGAGGAAATCGATACCACCTTGACGGACACCGAACAAGCAGCCCTACGTCATCGTCTTTTCGAGAATGGCGAGCCCGGGGAACATGCCCCAAGGGGACGGTGGGACGATGCTCTAAACTTCTTTCCCGGTCTTGGGCCAAATAGTAGCAGCATACAGGAATACGCCGACTTACTCGGCACATCAGATCTGGAAGAAGCTAAGAATATCTGGGTTGGCCAGTGGCAAGGGGTCCTCACCAGTTATACGGATGAAGTGTGGGGAGAGCTCAGGTCTCTCGTAAAGGTGGCTCGAGAGGAGCTTACTAACATTTCGGAGCCTCATGAAGAAGCCTCTCCTTCGAAGTTAAAGGCAGTGCGAAGGCTTCAGCAGCTTTTAAGTCATATCCGCGGGACACGGAGTACCGCAAGCTCATGAGCTCAAAACAGGGCATGTAAGATATTCCTTCGCTGTTCCTCGACCCGGAATTTAGGGGGAAACATATGTAAAATGTAAGGGGGCCACTGTATTATAATGATATTCGTGATATGTGACCTTCTCTAAAGAGAATTGCGTTATATAATATTGCATAGGTAGCAACTGTGTATGTTAAGAGATAATTATGATACCCGAGGTTATAACGTTATTAGCTAGTCCCATAACTATAATAATTTATCCTGCACTATTTCTACATTATTCCTAACCTACACCCTATGCAAAGCCTGTCTTAAGCATCGTGAAATGATTGGAATGCGGTCTGTCACTACAATTCTCCCGCGATAGACGGTTTTATATTTCTTTCTTTCCACCAGAACGTACGAGAAGAAAAGTACCTAATGTACATAGCCAAGGATAATGGAGTTGTAAGGATCTAAGTGGATGCCGAGTTGGCGATTGGGAGAAAATCTTCCTGTAGATGCCTTGTTGCATGCTTGGGTCAAGACTCAAGCTTGTCTGTGCCTTTTATATGCATGCGGAATGTACAATACCTCAAGAGCTATCTAGATAGGTACGTACTTCGATATTGCCTCTCTGACCTAATGGGACATGAAGTGATTGGGTAACAAAAGACACGAAGGTGGAGACTCCGAACATGGGTACTTTGAGGTACGCTACCTACCAGCTTCAGCGTATTAGTATTCAGTGTAGCACCATGTATTTCTCCTCCAAGTGCAGGACCCAAAGGTACATAATGTACTTTACATATGCGCATGAAATGTAATAAGAACCAGTTTGGTATGTGCATATGGAAACTTTTAGCAGTAGATATTTCCATATTTTTCAACGCCTCGTCGTTTTGCACCCACTGGGCTGCAACACATCAACTCTACATTTTTTCCCCTCATCGCCGGATTTGAGCCCTTTCTCTAGTTTACCCTAATCACTTCACCTGCGTCGTGCGGTCTCTTGTGTTTTATCGGTTGAGAGCCTGTCTTACCGGTGGCGCCCGCGATCCTCGTTGACGGCAGATAAACCGGTACCCAACACCGTTTTTTGTTGCCGGCGATAGCATCACGAGTTAAAGAGAAAAAGAAAAAAAAAAGATATCAACTATTCTCTAACTTTCCATTTTTAAGGCTGATAGAGAGCTCAAAGTTTTCAAAATGGCTGCTCTAGGAGATGATCTGTTGCGGATTGTGAACCAGCTTCAGGACCTAGTCTTTAATACAATTGGCACAGACTCCCTCGACTTACCTCAAATCGTATGTCCTGCGCCTCTAAGACTTCCTGCTTCTTTTTTTATTCGGGATTTATCCTCGCACGGCTGCTTACTCTCGTCTAAACCATAGGTTGTCGTCGGTTCGCAATCGGCGGGCAAGTCTTCAGTGCTTGAGAACATTGTTGGCCGCGATTTTTTGCCTCGAGGAAGCGGCATCGTGACCCGTCGTCCGTTAATTTTGCAATTAATCAACGTCGAAGAGGACCCGTCCGAACCAGATCTACAGGCCGCTTACAAGAGTCCCACTCAAGCACGCCGCTCCGAGTGGGCTGAGTTCCATCATACACCCGGTCGAAGGTTTACCGATTTTGCAGATGTCAAGCGCGAGATCGAGAATGAAACTTCTCGTGTTGCCGGCAATAATAAGGGCATCAACAGACAACCCATCAATCTAAAAATCTATTCCCCTCACGTTCTTAACTTAACCCTGGTTGATCTGCCAGGTCTGACCAAGGTATGCTCACCGCCTTAAAAAGAATAATTACTTATTTGGTGACTGACCCGACGAGCGATAGGTTCCCATCGGCGATCAACCAGCCGACATTGAGAAACAGACCCGAACCCTCATTTCTGAATACATTGCCAAGCCCAACAGTATCATTCTCGCCGTCTCTCCTGCAAACGTCGACATTGTTAATTCGGAAGCTTTAAAACTTGCCAGACATGTTGATCCTCTGGGCCGTCGGACGATCGGAGTTCTCACCAAGGTAGACTTGATGGATCACGGTACAAATGCATTAGATATCTTATCCGGTCGAGTCTACCCGTTAAAGCTGGGCTTTATCGGTGTGGTTAATCGATCACAGCAGGATATTCAGGGCAATCGACCGATGGAAGATGCTCTTAAGGCAGAGTCGGAATTTTTCCGACACCACCCTGCTTACCGAACTATCGCTGTGCGATGCGGGACTCAATATCTAGCCAAGACCCTTAATCAGACTCTTATGGCACACATTCGGGAGCGGCTACCAGACATCAAGGCACGTCTCAACACGCTGATGGGCCAGACCCAACAGGAACTTGCAAGCTATGGAGATATGCATTTTAGCGGAAAGGAGCATCGAGGGTCTATGATTCTTCAGCTTATGACTCGATTTGCTACTTCTTTCATCTCGTCCATCGACGGTACATCTACCGACATATCAACTAAAGAGCTGTCAGGAGGCGCGCGGATCTACTATATTTTCAATTCGGTGTTCGGCAGTGCATTGGAGACAATCGATCCCACTTCCAACCTTTCTGCTCTCGACATTAGGACCGCCATTCGCAACTCGACGGGTCCTCGCCCAAGCTTATTTGTACCGGAAATGGCCTTTGACTTACTCGTCAAACCCCAAATTAAGCTATTAGAGCTCCCTAGTCAACGATGCGTCGAGCTAGTATACGAAGAGCTGATTAAAATATGCCACACATGCGGTTCGACAGAACTCTCTCGGTATCCCAGACTTCAGGCTAAACTTATTGAGGTCGTATCAGATCTTCTGAGAGAGCGGCTAGGACCTTCATCGTCTTACGTCGAGTCTCTCATCTCTATTCAACGGGCTTACATCAATACAAACCATCCTAATTTCTTAGGGGCTGCTGCAGCCATGAGCCATGTGGTTACTAATAAGCAGGAACGCGAAAGGAAGAGGTTAATCCAGGAAGAAAGGGAACGGCGAGAGAAGAAGCGGCTTAAGGAATTGGGCACAAATGGTACCGAGACACCGAACGACGAGGAAGAACCTGATCATGATAGACATGACGCTTCTCACCCGCGAAAGCCAGCTGGAATAGGGTCGCGAAGCATGTCGCCTATCCTCCGCGAAAATGGAACTTCCAGCATCGCCGCCGCGATGAATGGCTCGCGCTCGGACTCACCTAACCGGTTCAACCAACAGGCAATTGGAACTGCTCGTGACTCATTCTTGACTTACTTCTTTGGAAAGGATGGCCAGCCAATCCAAGCTTCTGGAGCTGGGGCTCCTAATTCACTTCCGCGCCATGTCAGCCAGGGCGTGGAACCCACTTTCAGCCAAAGCATTCGACGAAGTGAAGATAAGTTAACCCATCGGCCGGCGTTATCCTCGTCGTTAGCCCGCGAGGAGGTTGAGAGCCCGAAAGCTGCCGGGTTTGGTTTTGGGCCGCAGTCGGTAAGTCAGATTCTGTAGCTTGGTTTGTTGTCCCAACTGACACGTTTACTTGCAGGGCGATGTGGAACCGGCTTTAAGCGATCGAGAGGCAATGGAGACGGAGCTAATCCGCGCACTTATTTCCTCGTATTTCAACATTGTCCGCGAATCCATTGCTGACCAAGTTCCCAAAGCCGTTATGCACCTACTCGTCAATCATTGCAAAGATGTGGTGCAGAACAGACTTGTCAGCGAACTCTACAAAGAAAGTCTCTTTGAGGAGCTCCTCTACGAAGACGACGGTGTCAAGAAGGAGCGCGAGAAATGCGAGAAGCTACTGCAGACCTACCGGGAAGCAGCCAAAATCATTGGGGAAGTGTTATAATAGGGCACCTTTTCCAACGGCCCACTACACTACCACCACCAACCAACCAACACAACACACCTTGTACTAGAAATCGGGACTATCTCCACCTGGCAGCAAAAAAAAAGGTTTAGGTTTTCATGTAGAAGAGAAGAATGCGATATCTGACTTTGCCCCATCATCTCATCTGTACATGTACAATTAGACGGAGGGGAAATGGCCAAGAATGCCAAGTTGGCCCGCCTTTGCCCGCGATTTTCACTCTCTCGAGAGGTTACTAGTTTTGCTAGTTGCTCGTTCGTTCGGCGTGTGTCGTCTGTTCTACTATGCACAGACTGGGACCGAGTCGGGAGGCGCTTTTGAGGGCACACATATTTTGTACATACAGCGCAGACCATGCTACTCTTCCGTTTTCTTCTAGTATATTCAGCAGCATTTATCGTATCTCGTATGGGGAGCTTCTTCTCCGGGTTGTACGGTGTATAGGTATGTATGTACATATGTATAATACATACCGATCCGTAGCATTGGAGGTGGATGGGGATGGAGGTGTAGGCTGACTCGGTGGGTGGTGTGCTGGAACGGGTCAAGGTGGATGGACGGATGGATAGGTGGACTGGTGGATAGGATACATATGCAGTGGTGGAGGTATGTAGGGCGGATGGGATGAATGGATGGGATGGGCAGGCCAAGCTATCTATACATGCCTATACATACAGCATACAGCATACGTGTTCCGCGTACCACATTTAGGCCAGTTCAGTCACAGATGCATCGATCGAATAACTAGTTGCTTTTGCAAACGGCCTATGCAAGATCAATATCACCTTCCCGCTTAGGCGTTAATCAAAACTAATGTCGATCTTTAGTTTCTACTGTAATGTAGTGGAATGTATGGAACTGTGTATGCAATTGTTTGGGGGGGTATCTTGAAGCCCTATTCTTCTCCGTTTCTGCGCGGTGCCTGCGTAGGGAATCGTAACTATCTATATGTACCTACCTAGCTAGGAGGTAGGTATGCGTTTTTTTATCTATCTATCTAGCTAGCTAGATCCCAGTCTCCGCCAGCTTCTTGGCTAAGGCGTCGACATCGTCGTCCTTGAGCTGTACCGTGGGTTGTTCTTGAGCCTCCTCTTCCTCCTTGATTAGCTTCTCGGCCTTCTCTTCCCTAGAGGGTTCCTCCTCTTCCTCTTCCTCTTCTTCCTCCTCCGAGTCTAGATCCTCGAGATCGCTTAGGCTGTCGACGCCCCAGGTGTCTTCATCGATGATGTCGCCGCCGTGCTTCTCTTTCCGCTCGTCGAGTAGCTCTTGTAGGGCTAGGATCGACTCGTCGTCCTCCGAGAATTTGTTGCCGTTTAGTTCGATCCGCTTTAGCGCTGGGAGACCAGTTTTGGCTGCCGATGCGAAGCCTTTGACGCCTAGTGCCGTGATGTCGTTGTATTGTAGGCGAAGCGTCTCGAGCTTCTGGTTTTGACCCTTGGAAAGGACGTCGGCGAGGAGGATACCACCCTTGGCGCCAAGTAGGGAGTCGCCGATTCCAAGCTCTTGTATGTCTGCCCAGAGAGGGACAACCTTTGCTAATGCTCTCGCGCCCTTGATGGTAAAGGTGTTGTCTTGTAGATCTAGAACCTTAATCCCGATAGCGTGATTCAGGCCTGAGGTGAGCAATTGCTCGATTCCTTCTTGCCTGATACCGTTCTGGACCATCTTGACTTCTTTAACCCGGTCATGAAGGCTGAAGGTCTTGGCCCAAGCAAGCATACTTC